TAAACTCTACTGACCCCCATCCCAACTGATACACAAGCAACTCCCTTAAAAAAGCCCCCATCTGTCTACCTAAACCCAATACACTTCTACTGGAGGGTTGTGATGTAAGGAATCTCACCCCCTATCCGGATGATTCGCTCGCAGATGGTGAAGTAGAGAATGCCGGGGGGGAGGGGGGGATGGAGACCAATGTCGTCCTCTTTCCTTCTTTTTTTTTTTCCTTTTCAATAATGGAAAAGTAAGTACTTAAGGTTTACTAAGTTGGAGACTATAGATGGCCAGCTTAGGTTCACGCCATTGGTAGACGTCAGCTGCTGGGTTAGCTACGCAATAAAATAATATATATGAAGCCATTCGTTATGTTATTTAATGTTGCCTAATTACTTGCTATCTGTGAAATAAAACATAAAATGATTTGAATATATTTAGTCATGTAATACATTTCTATAAAAAAAAACCTAGAAATCTAACGTCATTTGGAATAATTCTACGTCACAGAATGAGCAGTAAATATACATATATTAACAAACCGGGTAATTTATAAATTTATAAGAGCGCCCCCAAAATATCGTTAACAACGAGGGCACCTAACTGATGAAACAAGGAATACTAATCTCTATAAGTAAGGAACGTATATTTAATCAGCTTAACTGACGACCAGGTTGATATTTGGTTTCTTTTTTTAAATACATAACTTGCTCTAATTGGATGTTAATTAATTAATACACTCTGTAGTTTAATATCAAATATTATATTATTTGGGATGACGGGGGGTGGGTTCTACAATGACGTAGGTTTCAAAGGTTTGTGGCTTATTTTTTGAAACTGAACGTCTACCCTGCAACCGTCGGAGAATCCGGATCTCATTTTACCTTCCCCAGACCGGTTATGGTTGTTTACCTCATTCCACTAAAACGAACAAACACCGTCAGGTCAACGTTCTCACGTTAAGTAAGCTTATGCAGTTGTTTATCTCTTGAGTTGTTTGTCCGTTTTGAAGGGTTCTGACGTGAGGTTTCAACGCAATTGGTCAATCGTATGCCCTCCGGTTGTTTGTTGCGGGACGCGTTCTGGCAAAACCTGTGCCCGTTTTGCACTTGGATCACTATCACAGCAATCACTGGTTCTTTACGATAAACCCACCTGTCGAGGGAAATTTTTTTTTGTTATATTTCTTAATCATTTTCAACTTATGAGAATTGCAAAGCGGTGGCCAGTATGTGTGTGTGTGTGTGTGTGTGCATCTGATGTCATGGAAAAAAACAAACATACTGACATCAAAATAAATTTATCTTCGACTCTCTAATTTCGAAAGCGTAATGATGGTGACAGTTTCTATTCGAGCGTACAAAGACGTTACTACAACACGTATTAACTCGACTGAGTGGGCAAACCCAACTGCTCCACACTTACGACGTAGCTACGTGAGTTACGTAGAATGTTACAACAATGTGTCAAGATTTACAGTTAATACCGAAACGATCAAGTTTCTTCGTAGTTATGATGTGTTTATGATGATTGTTTGTTTGTTTGTTTTGAATTTCGCGCAAAGCTACACGAGGGCTATCTGCGCTAGCCGTCCCTAATTTAGCAGTGTAAGACTAGAGGGAAGGCACCCACCCACCGCCGACTCTTGGGCTACTCTTTTACCAACGAATAGTGGGATTGACCGTCACATTATAACGCCCCCACGGCTGAAAGGGCGAGCATGTTTGGTGTGACGGGGATTCGAACCCGCGCCCCTCTGATTGCGAGTCGAGCACCCTAACCACCATTTATGATGAACAACTCTACGTTCATTAACTACGAATACATATGTTCTTGTTCTTATTCGGCTTGAGTTATGAAAATTATATAGATTAAAGCCTATTTCGGAACCGATATTTTCCTAAAGAATAGCAAAAAAAACAAAAAACACATCCTTCAGTTTTAAAAATAATAATCAATTTCAGAAACACAACTTAGGTTCGTGATGTAATCGTTTGGGTAGAGATACGCACATTTAACGCACTTCCCCGTATCTCAAACCCCACTCTCTTCCACCACCACCCCCACCACTACGGTCGTTCACGTAGAGAAGGAAAAGAAAATAAAATACACACACGCACACACAAAAAAATCGATCATACTTTTTTCAAATCCATACCGAAGTTCTAAAATACTCCGCCAGGGGCTAGTTCTACCAACGTGACTTGATACGAAACTTTCCACTACCCCCACTTCTCTATTGTAGTGGGTTTGCATCAAATAAAACTTGCTTTTTTTTTTTAGATACAAGTTTAATATCATAATCACGTATTGGCGGATTATTTGGAAATGTTAAATATATATATATATTATCAGTAGTCAGTGACTCGCGCATTTACAAACGAGTGTTAACAGAGTAACAAACTTTCGACGGTAATAAAACGATAGATTTAGATCAAATTGAGTTTAAAAAAAACAACAGAAAGTTATATATATATATGAGAATATATTTGAGGCACCCGTAAAAGTAAGAACTAACCTTTACTATTTTTTTTTTCCACCAGAAGTCAACTCTTGTGTAACTACAATAACTTTGGCCAACGTTTTTTTTTCTTCTGTTATGGTTGTTGTTTGTTATTAAGCACAAAGCTCTCCCCTCCACGGGTATCGAAACCCGGTTTCTAGCGGTGTTAAGTCCACAGACAATACCGCTGTGCCACTGGGGGGTTCTTCTGTTATTTCTTCAAAGTCAGGTATTTAACAAAAGTCAACATAAATTTACGTCTGATAACAAATGAAAATAGTCAGTTGCAATAGAGCTTCGGCAATGTCGCGTGTAATTACGGTTGGTTAGTCTCATTCTGAACCAGCACTCCCCCTTGTGGTGGTTATATAATTCTCCTATAATACAAACAACCAGAATGGGGCCAAGCAAAAACGTGGACATCAATATCACCTGAAGAAATTATTTACAATTATATGATTTTTTTTTGGCATTAAGTAACATGTTTTCACCCTATACATTACATAATATATTATTCTCAGGAAAAACATGTTTCATATACCACTGACAAGCTCACAAATCTAACACATAATCTTTACCACACAAGTCAACACGATGACTGACACTGTGATACCATTATTTGATTGGAAAAAAACCCGTCAACTATAACGTTTACTAAAACACAGCGAACTCTTACGTTGCCCTATTTTAAACATCTCCATTTTTACGAGAAGCTACAGAGGAGATGAATGTGGTATATCAATTTCTAAATATTAAAAGTCTTAAACCGTATAGTCTTTAAATACTGATTAACTGACTTGAATGAGGTAGCTAAGTACTGACTACAAAAACGATTTAAACATCATCAAATGAGCAGCTGGGCCACGAACTGTGTGGCTCCGAGGTAGCTTCAGGTTAATATTACTGTCCTGTTCGAAAAACTAAATGAGACAGTGATACAACCCTAGTGATAGCAACTAAGAACCGATTCGACGTTGCTGTTGGTTGTTGTTTTTTTTTCAGCCTTTAAAGGACATTAAATGATGAAATTAAAACTTATCACAATATTTAACACGAAAAACTCTTTGGGCCTCAGTAATTTGATCTGGCTTTCATATTCATAGCGATTTGATTATTCCCACTGGATACAGTAAAGCTTTTTACCTTTTTATTTTAAAACAGAATGCCAGATACTTCTTCTAAATGACTTCTCTAGTAACTCGTCAATAGAAGACGCATCTTAATCGTAAGATATTTCAGTATTTTCTCCCTAAATATCTGTGTAACATACGAACTGTTTTTGTATCACCAAATTAAGCTGCAAGTAAATATACTCTGTGAACCCCCACAGCTTTTTTTTTTGTCTTTTTAAAGTAACTTAATTCCAAACTCCCACCAATTCTGAGCTTCACTGCAATTGTAGGCAATTACCAAATCGCCATTTTTTTTTTTTTTTGAGGTAGCTTATTAATATAAACGCGACAAAACAGATATATATATATATATATAGGAGCGATGTTCTTTCAAAAAATAGGAACAAAATTTTGTATTCTAAGAAGCTTTTGTCAGTTCCAAAGGTTCAACACAACTGTCTTCATATTCAATTTGATTTCCATGCAGTTCATTCTCGCTTTTGTCTACTTCATTAACGCTCTTTAACTGCCACGACCTGTAAGCCTCCGGATAAAAAGTTAACGTTTCCTTTCTCCAAGGTATGGGAACCTCACTATCACTCTCGGACTCCTCGCCTTCCTCTTCAATGGCTTCTGCATCCGAATCACTCCGTGAACTAGAGAGGTCTAGAACTCCTTCATAAATGGAGGGTGAATTAAACGTTCGAGGCATGAGGATGGCCAATGGATTGTCCACCGAAGGAGAGATACTCATGTCTATCGCTTGGGTCTGCACTGTTTCTTGGTCTCGAAGGAACAGTTCTCTCTGCTGGGGCGTTAGAATCCGTATTGTGTGACGAGGCTTGCGACGTGATTGCGATGCTGTTCTAGGCACTGCTGGCGGCCCAGGATCGTGGCTACTTCCCGCAGCAAGAGGGTCCGGCGAGATGATTGAGGCAGCAACGGTACTTGGAAGTAAAGGTTGTTGATCGGTGGTCAGTGGAACGACTAATGGAAACTGGTCGTACGCTTTCGGACGACGACCTCGTCGTGGTTTACCGATGTTCATTTCGTCTTTCGGACATTTATGATGCACGAGATGGTGTCTGCGGCGAAAGTGACCCAGACATTTTGTGCATTGGAATGGTTTTTCTCCTTTATGAATGAGCATATGGGCCTTCAGTTGGTTGCTATCTGAAAACTTCGAAGAACAGAGTTCACAAGCGTAAGGACGCTCACCCGTATGGACGCGAAGATGGCGACGTAAATTGGCCACTTGGACAAACTGCCTTTCACAGTGCGTACAATGATAGGGTTTTTCCCCCGTGTGTAGCCTCATGTGAGTTTTGAGATGATGGTCACGAGTGAACCGTTTATGGCATTCTTTACACTCGAACGGCTTCTCGCCTGTGTGCGTGCGTTCGTGATTTTGAAGCACGTGTTTATAACCAAAACAACGGTTACAAACGCTACACACGAATATTTTATCCCTAGAATGACTATCCCGGCCCTTGGGACTCGTTTGTGGGCCCGGGGTGCTATTACTATCCGATCCATTCCCTGCGCTGGCAGACGGTTCTCCGGCCGAAAGACTAGGAGTTAGCCTATCGGTTAAACTTGTATGGTCAGTTGTTGTAGTGACCACCGCTAGGGGGATTCCAACCAGCACCGGTGGCCGTTGTACCTGAGACATCAAGGTTTGACCTCTTCCATTCTTTGTGGAATCTGCTTCTTTACATTGACCAATCAGCTCGGACCCTGTTTTCATCTCTAGCTTCCCTCGTGCTAGCTCCTGCCGACCTGAAATAACAGTAATATCAAGTGTATAACAACATAGGTATTATAATAATAGTAATATCAAGTGTATAACAACATAGGTATTATAATAATAGTAATATCAAGTGTATAACAACATAGGTATTATAATAGTAATATCAAGTGTATAACAACATAGGTATTATAATAGTAATATCAAGTGTATAACAACATAGGTATTATAATAGTAATATCAAGTGTATAACAACATAGGTGTAATAATAAGAGTAACATCAAGTGTCAATCACACATTTTGAAATACATTTACAGTGTCTTGTTTACTCTGAACCAATGAAAGCGATTGAATAAAACCTGTCCTGTATTTCATACAAACTACATTGTATTAATTTATTTTATTCTACTATTAAACTTTTATTATTTCTAAAAATATGGTCCCCGGCATGGCCAGGTGGTTAGGGAATTCGACTCGCAATCTGCGGGTCGCGGGTTCGAATCCCCGTCCCACCAAACATGCTCGCCCTTTCAGCCGTGAGGGCGTTATAATGTGACGATCAATCCCACTATTCGATAGTAAAAAGAGTAGCCCAAGAGTTGGCGGTGGGTGGTGATGACTAGCTGCCTTCCCTCTAGACTTACCCTGCTAAATTAGGGACGGATAGCGCAGATATCCCTCGTGTAGCTTTGAGCGAAATTCAGAAAACAAACAAACAAACATTCTAAAAATATGCTAAACATAATACAGAACAATCGCAGAATTTAAATATTCAAACATAATACAGAACAATCGCAGAATTTAAATACACAAACATAATACAGAACAATCGCAGAATTTAAATACACAAACATAATACAGAACAATCGCAGAATTTAAATACACAAACACAATACAGAACAATCGCGGAATTTAAATATACAAACATAATACAGAACAATCGCAGAATTTAAATACACAAACATAATACAGAACAATCGCAGAATTTAAATACACAAACACAATACAGAACAATCGCAGAATTCAAATACACACCATTATAGGGGAAAATACAAAATACCGGGATGTATAATTAAAACAGTGAAAATTGTGAAATTCAAGCGTTGTTCATAAAGTTTCCCTACTTAGTTTCTTTGTGCTATTTTGCAACTTAAAACTTGAATGTCAACACCGTACTCATCAACAACACATTTCTGTTTGTTTTTGAATTTCGCGCAAAGCTACACGAGGACTATCTGCGCTAGCCGTCCCTAATTTAGCAGTGTAAGACTAGAGGGAAGGTGGCCACTACCCATCGCCAGCTCTTGGGCTACTCTTTTACCAACGAATAGTGGGATTGACCGTCACATTATAACGCCCCCACGGCTGAAAGGGCGAGCATGTTTGGTGGGACGGGGATTCGAACCCGCGACTCTCATATTGCGAGTCGAGAGCCTTATCCACCTGGCCATGCCGGGCCTCACATTTCTGTATAAACACAATCCTATCATTTTCAGGCCTGAGACATGCCATACGAATGAATATTCGGAAAATTGTCAACTACTTGATGTAAAACTTTTTATATTACAAGAGATAGCAGTGTCCTGTTAAAATATCTTTTGAAACATGTATTTCTACCTGTCTTTGGAAGATCAGAGAACGCGTGCTCAGAAATTTAAATATTTTTTTTCTAGACACAAAAGTATGTTGACGGTTTCTTGTTACAAAGAAAATAATGTGAGAACACAACATTAAACATGAATTTGAATTTGAACTTTGCATTACAGTATCATGTTATAAACAGCAGTTAAAGTAAACTGGCGGATATTAAAGTCATGGTGAACTAGAAGGCACTCAACTTGTAGTGTTTCCTTTATTATTTGTATATAAAGTACCGGAAATACGTCTGTAGAGACTCTACGTCATTTCTTTCTATCCTAGCGGTTTATAATAGAAACGTTTTGTGGTATACATTTATTTCAGTTACACGATCAATTTTCTGAATTCTAAAATAATCTAAAAAAAAACGAGTCGCAAGTTATCTGTCTTATTAAAGACTCAATCCGACAATGTTAACATTATTTACACGCTACGTTGTCTTATTGAGCGTATTTATTTTCGGTCCTGCAACTACCACCAGACGGAGCTAATTATAGAATATTACGAGTTTCTAAGTCCTAATAACGTACGCGAAACTGATGGTTTCGGATTTCACTCGTCAGAATCAGAACGTGAGTCTGAATGCTTCACTAACACTAAAAATCGTTACGTTACTACAATCTGCCAACTAAGCCTCAATTGATCCACAAGCCGATTATTGGGAACACCATAAAATAAGTAACACGTTTAATGAGTTTTACCTGTAAGTTATAAGAATTTTTTACACAGTTCTCAATATATATATGAAGTTTAAAATTGGAAGGCGTTTTCTTAAGAGTTAGTTGTAGTCATGCGAGGTAGTTTTATTTTAAAGAAAATCAAACATACCAAATTAAAAACTTCTATCACACCCACAACGGAATCTATCAGACCCTCATTTTTACATTGTTTTGAGTTGTGTGATGTCACGGAAACGTCCATACACTTAGATCATAGATAAAGATGTGTTCAGATCGTGGATTTAGAATTTCCAAGACAGATATATCTCTTGTACTTAATGACACTGGAAAACAAAGAAATATGGATCACCTTGAGACACCAGGACTATCCAGAAAAAAAATCCTGCAACAAGTCGTACCCCCAACTGTGGTAAGCAAACTGCAGCTTCTTGTACCAGGTTAGAATCCACGGACACAAAGATCTGTCCATGTGAACCAGGCAACAATACTCAACATAATCAAGAAGAATCACCGTCTAGAAATGTGACAAAGTCACGTGTACACAAGGTGCTTCCACAACATGTCCGTTCACTCGCATCATACCTCAAACAGATAGCAAGGAAAACGGTATTTATGCTATTCCGCATTAAGGCATACTGGTCAAGTCTTCTGACACAGTTGCTATAGGTGTCTGCGCGATCAAACTATTTAGAAACTGGAGCTGAAAAACTGTCAGCCTCGTATGCTAGATGGAAGGCCTACAAGGAGGAAAGGTGTGCATGATAGCCTTACGACTGATCTCTTTGCAAAGAGAACTATGCTCAAAAACTATTCTCAACACCAGTGTTCCCTCTAAGCTGCGCGGCCGTACAACAACCAATCAAGTGCCGCGCACTTCATTATTCCAGCCGCGCACATCCTCAGTTATGGTGAGGAGTCTCAACATGTTGACGGCCTTAATGACCTTGGTAGTCGACAGGCCTAAAGTCCAAATAACCAAATGGTAGCATTGCAAAGCGGCTTAATTATCTAATAGGGTCGATGGTCTAAAAATACCCTCCCCCTAAAAAAATTGCCTTGATACTGGTGCACATGAAAAACTTCATTCCGCACGTGGATGGAAAACTTAGAGGGAACATTGGTTAAGATGCAAGATCGTCAAAGAGAGCATGGCCGCACGTGGCGACATGAACTGTAACGACGTGTTGAGGCTCCAAAATCATTTTAATATAATGTACCCAACCTCTGTATTCCGACCTAAACATAAAAAAAAAAAAACGGAATGAAAGAGAAGTGTTTTGTTTTTCTATCGCACGACAATTATGTTCTGTGTTTATAGCTTCCAGCACTGAAACAAAACAAACAAGGTTTCTAGCAAGCTACAGTTACTCGGTTAAATAGACTGGGAATTATGACGTTCTTAATACACGGGTTTAGCCAGTGCATTTATGACATTCTTAATACAAGGGATTGACCAGTGCATTTATTGCTTTGACACAACCACAAAATTTTCATAATTCAGTAGTCTGCACTGCTGCTTAACGGACAACATACAGATATGTGTTAAAGCAAAACTATTACATTTTTTATTGTTACGTGATTTCCTGACAAAATCAGCTTAACCAACTAAGCAATATCTACGGATATTTTAATACACTCTTTAACGACTTTAGTTCCTTATTAGAAAAACCCTTTTCCTGTTCCAATTCAAATTACAAAAATAATAATTGTTTTATACCAAAAGCTCCACTCAAGACAAGTTTATAAACGAAGCTCTTCGTATACACAGGAGAATTAGGCATAGAAAACCTACTTGGTAAGCCTAACCCGAACCTTATGAAATAGACAATTCCCAGTGGTAATAAACGATTGTAAATAAATTATCATCAACACACGTTCCATGTTTCAAGACGCCGTTTTATTGTTGTTGTTTTTAGAAATATATATTACGTACCGATTGTGAAAGATCTCTTGACCCCTGTATATTTCATGTGGGTGCACTGTATATATATATATGTAAATAAGGTATCATCTTTAAAATGTTTAGAAACATTCACCGAGTTTTTCACATAAACGGAAAAAACGTCTTTTTAAAAAAAAACGCTGAAATACTGACTTCCTTTTAACTGCGGACTTACAACGCTAGAATCCGGGTTTCGATACCCGTAGTGGACAGAGCACAGCTAGCCCATTGTGTAGCTTGACGCTTAATTACAAACCTTTTAACTATGGAACTTTCCACATAGGTGGTCATCACGTTCACAAGGTAGCGTGTTTTTCGTAAAATAACTTATACCTCTGGATAACATATTTAAAATATTTTGAAATTTTAAATGCTTTAACAAAAACTGATAGATGATATATATATACAGCTCAAAACATTAACTTATATTAAGACTACTCGATTAATTATACATAGTCGATATTAACTGATGTTTAAAAAATAAACGTTATTCGTAAAAGAAAATAAATACGGAATAGAAATTTCCAGAACATTTTTTTGATTTATTTCTTCTGAATATTGTCAATACTAATTCAACAACTTACTGGACAGATTAACTGCACGTGTGTAAAAACTGTACGTATTTCAGGCCATAAGTAATCGACATAACCTTATTGAGAAACGTACCAGTGATACCGAGATGAGGTTTTATTTAGTAAGAATTGAGTAGAGTTATTAACCTTATATTTTAACCTGTTGCTGATTCTAAATTGGTACAGCGGTACGTCTGCGG